CAGATTTCTGTGCAGAAACCTCTGTAAATCATTGGCTTGATTGTGGAACTGGCAAACGTCATATTTGATTCATTTAAAAAAACGCAGTACCCTCGGATAATTTGACATTCCAGATAACTTGACTTTTGTTATTTAAATTATTTCATAAAATAAATACTAGGTTATTATTAGTAACCTAGTATTTCTCTTATTACTGTATAATGTAATCCTAGTATTTGTAATCCTAGTAACTACTAATTCATTGTGCAATTTATATAAATATTTGTAATAAATAGGAGAAAATTATGTTTTTATTTATTTAGAAGCTACGGGTTAGTTTCAAATGAGGACGGATACATTGCTGGACATACCGTCCTCGGGGACGGGTAAAATTTCTGAGTTTTTTCGAGCCCTGCAGCTCAGTTCAGTTTAGGCAGGTATGTATGAATATCTTATGTAAGCTCAAAAATTTGTTAGCAATTTACATTTTGGATAGTGAAACTATAAATCACAGATAAATAATTAATTATTACAACATGTCCTATTGCGGCATTTCAAAAATATTGTTATGGGTTTTTCTCTTAATAGAGATTTTTAAGAATCGTGATGCAGTTTTCAATTACTTTCTGCACCGCCATCTTTCAAATTTTTTTAAAAACAAAAGTCAGAAATTCTGCGAGAAAAAATTTATGCCCTGATCCTTGAATTTGCTGAAAGAATTGTTATATTTAAACTTAAGTGTTGTCCTATTTTAATTTCCCGAAAACAGTTAATCTAATTTAAAACATTATGTACATAACTATAACAAAAACAGGTGTTACCTTATTCAAAAATTATTTAAAAAATTAAATGTTCTTAATTTATGTATTTTAAGATAAATTGAGCTGATGAGATTAGTAAAAGTAGACCCTAAATAAAATATTTATAAAACAAATTGAGATTTCCAGGGGAAAGTGATATTGCAGGTTATGGGCTAATTTGACTAGATGCAATCTTAATTTATTTTTCCCAGCCTAATTTTTATTTCGCAGGAGACTTGTCGACGAGAAGTCTTAGAATGTTAACAGTAGATAGTCGACAAGTAGTCTTAGAATTAAAACGCCCAGACAGTAAACGCTATGACGCGAACTGCAATAAATTCGTGTTTAGGTTTTATAAACTTCGTCATTTGGAATCTTGCGGGCTAGAATTTAAGACAATACTTACAATTTCCAATTCTTAATTGTCAACGTATGAAATTTACAGTTAATTTACACAAATTGTTCAACTGCCACGCTAATTTTACATGGCTTGCCCGTCTGGCTAAACGGGAAATAACTACGAACTGAAATTTGCCAGTATTAGACAAATTTTGATAGTTTTTAAAAAAGTTTAGCATGTCATAGCTGATAAAAGTGGTGAAAAGTGGATAAAACTTGTTCTAAACAATTCGTAGGCTTATATAATAAGCCTACGAATTCTTTAGAACAAATAGTGGATACAAATCTACTAAATTGAATTTATTAAACCAAGAATCACAGTTAATAAATTACCTCTTGAAAATATTTATTCGCTGTTCGGAGTAAGTTGGCATCTCTGTGTATACAGGGTGTCTCAGTTAAGCGTTTCAGAACTTCTAAGAGGGGTAGGGGGCATCCTGACGACTCGAAATCATATAGCAATGTGGGGTCGGAAATGTTTTCCTGAAGCGGTGACGTACACAGAAGCACCATAAAGAAAAGAGACCGTTAGTAAAAAATCGCTATAATAATACATTGAAAAAATTATATGGTACATGGGGCAAAGTAAGTGTTCGAAGTTTCAGCCACTGGCTACAATGTACACCTCACATCTCCGGCGCATGGCCATTCGAACATTCTGCAATACTCCAGGCATATCTCGCAGGCAGCTACTGCGATTCTTGCAACCAGCATTATCAACAGGAGTGTCATAAACCAGTGTTTTCATATGACTCCAGCAATCAAGACATGATAGGTCGGGTGACCGAGGAGGCCATATAATTTTTTCAATGTATTATTATTGCGATATTTCACTTACGGTCTCTTTTCTTTAAGGTGCTTCTGTGTACATCACCGTTTCAGGAAAGCATTTCCGACCTCACATTGCTATATGATTTCGAGTCGTCAGGATGCCACCTACCCCTCTTAGAAGTTCTGAAATGCTTAACTGAGACACCCTGTATAAATAAAACTAGTTTTGTGTGTTCTATATTGCATTAATTTCTTCAAACCATTTTAGTAACGATAATAATATAAAAAAATTAAAATTTACTCGAATTATGTGTTTCTAATAATCTTGATTTCGCCGGTCACCGATGACCCTGTGGCTTCACGAACGAACTCAGTGCTGGCCACCGGTGACCCCCATGTCATTCAACGTGTTAAAAGAAATCGAACTCTTCCAAAAAAGAAAATTTCGCAGCATATACCTCCAGATATACTTGCATACGTTTTTTTTTATTTCTATAGTTCCACCCTTTATATTTTTTTACTTCCAAAAATAATTGCAAAAAGCTGCAGGTTAAGCTTTTAATTTTCGAAAAACCTTATAATAGTTTTACTGAGAATATATGGCTAGGCATATACCTTCCAACTTTCCCTATAAATGAAGAAAACTACTTTTCAATCTAAAAGAATAGCTTCCAAGTAAAGACAATAACGCCGTTGTGTTTTATAAATTTTCTAGTACTTAATAACCTCGCCGAATATTAATTTAATAATCCCACGAAACTGAAGTAGAAAGATACACTTAAGATGAAACTTCATTTTTTTTGTCGTATGCCTGTTTTAGGCAGTGGGGGAGCGATTGTTCCTGTTTTTCAGTGGCGCCATCTATGGCCAGAAATTCGACATCTGCCACGCCATTCACACAACCACAACCTGTTTATAGAGTTGATCACATTCACACACAAAGGAGAGAGGATATAGAAAACACACACAGAGAGAAAGAAACATCCATGCCTTGCCCGGGATTCGAACCCAGAACCTTTTTGATGCAAGGACAGTTCCCTGCCCCCTACACAGGTCGGTTGGCGAAACTTCATTTAGTTTAAGAGATATAAAACTGGTAATTAGGGTTTTTGAGTGTTCTATATTGCATTAATTTCTTCAAACCATTTTTGTAACGATAATAATATAAAACAATTTAAAATTTACTCGAATTATGTGTCTCGAACAATCTTGGCTTCCCCGGTCATCGGTGACCCGCATGGCATTCAACGTGTTAAAACCTTTATATACACAGTTCGTCAACAGTCGCATCCTGTTTTAGAACTATTCTTGCATTTTCAATTCGAACAAAATACCGACATAGGCTATCATCGTTTCGATTCAGTCCTTTATTCAATTACTGTCTTGTTGGAGGACGGTTGTTTCACATTCATAGATCCGTAAAAAAATGCAATAAATCACATAAAGTCTATTATGAATGAGGTCGAATTTTCAATATTTTTGAAGTTAGAGAGTGATTTGGGATGATGCCAGTTTATAACCTAATTGATGGTGTTCAGCAGACTAAAACATTTATAAGCTTCATTTTACATTGCAAACGAATGAAGTTTACACGGATCGAATGAGAACTTTAAAATTAACTTCGATCTTAATAAGTCTTTTATAAATATAGATGGCTATTATTTTGTTTAAACGAGCATAAAAAATATAACGAATTGTATGTAAAATGGGATTTTACTGTCCTAAATATGAGGGGGACTGGAAAGTAATGCCGTTTCAGTGAATTTGATATTTGTTATCAAGATCATATTTTTAATCAATAATGATTTCCCCCTCGGTTCGGTGAGCAGGAGGTAAAACCTCCTGATTATAAGTACTCGAACTATAACACTATATGAGAATACACTTCAATATGGAAAAATTTTATTCTATATTTTAAATGTTAATGCTAACATTTGTTTTATAAGCATGTTTTAAATACTCAGAATGCGATGGATTGATATGTAAGTTATAAAATGTATGTATGATGTTTTTTTCGTTATTAAATTTGAATTTCCTTTTATTGTATTTAAATCCAAAAGAATAATTTCGATACTTTAGTTCGCATAAAAAACAAAATGAAAAATGTTTTACTGAGTGTTTTTTTAAAATTTGTTTGTTTTTGTTTAAATGATAAAGAATGAATTTACAACTTTGAATGCTCAATTTTTAATTTCAGTATAAGAAATCGTTTTATCTTCTTTCTTTCTTTTAACTCTAAATATTTAGAAATTGCGTCTAAAAATACCTGAATAACATTTATAATGCTTTGGTTCTACGCATAAATTGAATAAAGATCATTTACAAGATTCACCCGTTGCCAGATTTGTTTTTAAAATTTTTGACAATATCGATTTTTTTGTCTACCCATGTTGTTTTTTGATGCGCATGTTCTTTCAGTTGGTGACGTTGGAGTCATTGAGAAAGTTTGACATACCGTGAAATTCGTGAGACCCCAGAATTTGATTTCTGGTAGAATTTTAGATCACAGAATTCGCGCTTTTCACTTCGATTTGATTTCTTTGAACTTAAAAAAAAAGTAGGGAAAAAACTATTCATATCTTACTTCTCTCGTAAATCTATAACTAAGTAAATATGTGTATGTCTTTAGAAGGCTAAAAATGTCTTCTATTTTAAGAACAATCGCTTTAACATGCAAAACCGTACGACTATGATGTCATATAAGCTTATAACAAATTTAAAACTTTGTGGTTATGGAATATACGTGTTTTGTCATAATAATTACCTGATGTTTCCTTTGTTTGTGGCGTATTTAATGTGGTTGCAAAGGGCTTCAAACATTTCTCGAGCAGTGGAAACGTATCTGGCATCGAAAACCTAAAAAAAAATAATACTTCAAACTAATCAATTCGTAAAGATTCATACAGATACATAATTTAACCCAGTTTAGAATATTTGGATTATCTTATTACTATTATTATATATTATCTTATCTAATACGTCTAATTATACAGTAAATTCTAATACAGTTTTCCATTGTTGTTGGTATATTTTTATTGGCAGGATAATCACATGGTAGGATCCAGTTTTCCCACATTAATTATTATATTTTTTTTTAGCTGTCATGAATTATTATTATTATTAAATTAATCACTATTAATCTATTACTATCACTATTAAATTAATAAAAGCCATACAGATATTGTTTTTCTGTAAAATATTTTTGTAATCTAAATTTGAAGGTAATATTTACGTTCAAGGTAATATATACCTATATTTATTTCTCTTATTTTACTCAGCTTATAATACGTTTTTTTAATTTTGATTAGATTCTAAACTAAGAGCTAAAAACTACGAGTGTTGTCTTTTTATTATAATGTAATTCCATGATACTATCTTAATAATCATATTAAGATGAACTTATTTGAATCGTTATAAATCTAAACTTATTAACCGGTTTACAGTTTTTTCATTATTATTTTTTTTTGGTGTATGGCATAGCATAAAGACATAACATAGGTATAATGATTATAGCAGAGAGGTTAACACGATGAATGGCCACGCTAATTTTACATAGCTTGCCCTTCTGGCTAAACGGTAAATAACAAACTAAATTTGCAATTATTAGACAGATTTTTTTTTAGTTTTGTAAAAGGTTTAGCACATTGTAAAAAAAGTGGTGATAAATATAAGCCTACGAATTGTTTAGAAATAGTGGTGGATAAAAATCTACTAATTTGAATTTATTGAACCTGGAATCACAATTAATAAACTACCACTTGAAAATATTTATTCGCCGTCCGGAGCAAGTTGGCATCTCTGTGTATATAAATAAAACTATTTTTGTGTGTTCTATATTGCATTCATTTCTTCCAACCATTTTAGTAACGATAATAATATAAAAAAATTACAAATTTACTCGAATTATGCGTTTCTATTATGTGTCTCTTGGCTTCTCCGGTGACCCCCGTGGCACTGCAAACAAACTCAGTGCCGGTCACCGGTGACACCATGACATTCAATGTGTTAATGTTAATAATCATTTTAAGATAAATTTATTTGAATCGTTATAAATCTAAACTTATTAACTAGTTTACAGTTTTTTGATCACTATTATTTTTTTGGCTTATGACATAGCATTGAGGCATAACATAGGTATGATGATAGCAGAGAGGTAAAAGTACTGAGCTCTCATTGTGAATGTCCAGGGTTCTATTTTCGGTTACGACTTGAATTCCAAACTGCTTCAATAGGCGGTTGATGAAACAATATTGTCCATGTGACCATACTGCCACCATCATGCCTTTGGTCTCAAAATTGTGGAGCTATAACCTCCATGTTCCTCTTCGCAAACAAGCATGGTAGCATGGTAGTTGAGCACGGTACTTGTCAACAAGCATGATAGTTGAGGGACAACCAGTAATACGTTTAATTTGGCATGTACTGTACTACCAAATTATATATTTTTACTAAAACAAAGGTTCTTAATGCAGCATAAAATATTTTCCTGTATTAAAGTTTAAATTACCTTATATGTTCTTATGTACCTTCTATACACTTCAAATAAGCAGTTAAATAAATTGGAAAAAAGTGATTAATAAATTTCATTGCGTTTTTTGGTCCTATACTAATACCAATGAAGGAAGTAAGAAGGAAAAATCGTTGACAGAGAAAATTGGCAAATGTTGCGTGCACGAAGAAAAGAAAAGAAGTAAAAAAGATGATTTTATTAAAAATAATTTTTTGAATATGAGAGATTAGTTGGCTGACTTAAACTGATAAAATTATGATTATCGATCTAAAAAAAAGAAAGTAATTCTAAAGTTAATTTGAGTAGACTTTTGAGAAAAACATTATAATTTATCCACCAAATTAATGCCATAAATGCTTGAAGTAAAATAGGTTATTTTTATTGTCTTGATTACCATATCTTCCTTTTTTTTCTATAAATTTGCTTTTAGTGATGAGAGTCAAGAGCTTGCTCAATTTTGAATCATTTGATGCTGATGAGAAAACAAAAAAGCTATTAAGGTAATTGCTTATTAATAATAATAATATAATAATCCAAGTGAATTTGTAATTCAATATTTATGCACGATACTACTAAGCAAGTCAAAAAAAAAGAACATATGGGGAAAAGTTTTTAAATTATTAAATTGCCAGTCCATTATATTTGAAAGAACTGCCAGAAACTAATTTTAAAATCACTTAAAAATAATAACTACTGTTACGAAAATAGCAATTTAGCACTCTACTAAATTTAAATATTTTGGACATGTTTGTTGTTTATATCGTTGGTCTTACAACTCAATCTCGCGTGCATTTCTATTATTAAATACTGTGGGTGGTCTAATTTTTTTTAATTGTGCCTTGTAGAATTTGAAAGACAATGGTGGACATATATGTCCCTTGATCAGAAAGGTAGTAAAAAAAGAGGGAATTTAATCTTTGCTATTAAGACAAATAAGGTATTGTTTCTGGTGTTTATTAATGCAGAATAAATGAAATCATTTTCAAGTTGATTAGACAATACCTTGATCAGAACCTTGATCAACACCTTGATCAGAAAGGTAGTAAAAATGAGGGAATTTAATCTTTGCTATTATGACAAATGAGGTATTGTTTCTGGTGTTTATTAATGCAGAATAACATGAAATCATTTTCAAGTTGATTAGACAATACCTTGATCAGAACCTTGATCAACACGTTGATCAGAAAGGTAGTAAAAAAAAGAGGGAATTTAATCTTTGCTATTAAGACAAATGAGGTATTGTTTCTGGTGTTTATTAATTCAGAATAACATGAAATCATTTTCACGTTGATTAGACAAGTCGTTCAAAAGTTATAAAAGTTCTTATGTAAAAGAGATATAGTTTCGTGCTTCACGCGTCTGATATTACTATCTACACATATAAGGTGTTGTTAGTTATGTATTGCTTTACTTTAAAGCCGCTTAAATCAATCTAGAGAAAAATTTTGAAGTTATGAGGGTATTATACGTAAAACATTAACCGTTAAAAATAATGCAAGCCACAAATTGGATATATCCAAGACATATGCATTTTATTTATATGCATGTATTTTATTTATATAGTTTATTAAAATAATGAGGTGGTTTGTTACGAAATGCTCAGTTTTCGAATGTTATGCGAGACTTTTTCGATTTTCAAACAATTTCAGTTAGAATAATAAATTATCATTGTTATTTATATTCTTATTCAATATATCAAATCAAATATAATTTGGGATATTCGAATTACTGACTTGTAATTTAGACCACTGTATTCTTCCGATGCATCTTGGCGCATTTCTCCAAGCAAGTTTAGCACCATACACCAATTCAGTTTCCTTTAATTCATAAGTGCCACTGGATTCGACTTCGCTCATTATCTCTTTCCATCTTCTGACGTGACTTGGAGAATTCATTCTGAAAAAGAATTCTTTCAATTATTTAAATTAATACATTTTCGGTAAAGATAGACGGGTTAAATACATTTATTTTATGAACTTAAATTAACAGAAAAATAGTATTTAAACTGACTTAATTTATTAAATTTTTTTAACTTTTCAACCTTTATTTTCTAGTCTTTCTAATTTTTTAAAATTTTATTTGAGTAACGCATCTTTGGGGAGGGAAAGTAAATTATGTTTTTATATGGTTCTTTATTTTATATTGAAATATTTACTCAATTTTTGCTTCCTATTTTTAATTTTGTTTTGTTTTGCAATCTTTTTGCCTCAGTGTGTCTTTCTCTATCAGAGTTCGTACAATATATACATTTAAAATGCTCCGTATTAAATAAAAGTATGCTAATTGTTCCACTTCCAGCAAAATAAAATACAAAATGCAAGAATGCCAACTGCTTCGTTTTCTGCAAATGTTTTAATAGAGCAGCGATGGCTCCGGAATGGAGCTTTCGCCTTCAAAAGAGGTGAACCGGGTCCGAATCCCAGCGATGGCTGGTCGATACGAATTTCGCATCCGGTCTGCACCAACCACAGTGCTAACTAGAAATATTATTCTCCGTGGTAGACGGATCATGGGTTACAGTCCCTTTGCGGTCAGTCTAACAGTGGGAAATACTAGTGGTCTTCCTCTCCTTGTCAGACCTTCCAGGTCAGTTTCATCATAAAAGTCCTCCACAAAGACAAATTTCTCCCAATACTTGATCTAGGAGTTCCCTTGTCTTCTGCTTTGAGGTTCAAAATTACAAGGCTACGAAGTTGAATATTAGTAGTCATGAACCCAAGAATTGGTTCGGCTGTTCAACGACGGGTATAAAATTATAAATTGTTTTAATAAATTGGTAGCAAATTAAATAGTAATAAATGTAGAATGAGGATAATTACGCCTACTATTTAAAAGAGTTACCACTTGCATTTCGTATGATATTTCAAATCTTTGATATGTTGTGGTTGAAAAATCACTTTAACACTAGATTGCCGTAGGAAGTCATTTTGACTGCTTTTAATTTCAATTAGNACTTTATCTTGGAAAAGAAGCAGTTTTATATATATGCCAGAATTATAAAAGAAGTCTTGATAGTTACAGATATTTCATTTTTTTCGAAAAAAAAATGCTGGAATGAAATGTTTTACGTACCAGGTTTTTCTCTTTTCCGTCTTGCTATATAAGGGCTTTCACCCATGGCAAACTGTTTTGTTTTCTGCAAATATTTTAATGGAGCAGCGATGGCTCAAAGGATAGAGCGTTCACCTTCAAATGGGGTAAACCGGGTTCGAATTCCAACGATGGCTGGTCGACATGAATTTTGCATCCGGTCTGCACCGACCACAGTGCTGACGTAAAATATCCTCAGTGGTTGACGGATCATGGGTTACGCCAGACTAATCGTGGGAGGTACTCGTAGTCATCCTCTCCGTGTAAATGCGGATTTGTTCCATCAAAAGAGTCCTCCACAAAGGCAAATTTCTTCCTAGGAGTTCCCTTGTCTTCTGGATTGGGTTTAAAACTACAAGGCTACGTAGTTGAATATTGGTAGCCATGAACCCAAGAATTGGTTCGGCTGTTCAACGACGCGTATAAAATTATAAATTGTTTTAATAAATTGGTAGCAAATTAAATAGTAATAAATGTAGAATGAGGATAATTACGCCTGCTGTTTAAAAGTATTGCCACTTGCATTTTATATGATATTTCATATATTTGATATGTAGTGCTGGGAAAATCACTTAAAATGAAAAAAAAAATACTAAAATCTCTGAAAATGGTAAAGGAGTAAGAACTGCAATAGCAAAATTATGGTTAATTCTGAAAATAATTTGATAGCCTTAACGTGAGATACCTGAACAAAGATCTGCGCAATGGCGGGCTACTTAACTTTCAGTTGAATTCATTAAACTAGAATCAAACATTCAAACACAGCTTTTACTAACTTTAGAAGAAATTTACCCGCTAAATGGTGCAAGCTGGCACCTCCATAACTGACGTATGAGAATTTTAAGCAGTCAGACCTCTACTTGTTAAAATTAGTGTCTTCAAAAGAGTATTCCTTTTAAAGATAATGTGTATTTATTACCACTATTATAATTTGAAAGATAGTAGGAGCTCCGCATATGGTAGAGTAAGCCATTTTGCTCGTCATTGCAGCTTTCGACATCTAGCTACACAACCATGGCAGGACTGCCAACTTTCTGTTCTTTCAAGAATTTTTTTTTCTAGTGGTAGCCAAGTTTATGCTTCAATGTATTATTCTTTCTTTTATAAATTTTAATTGAAGTTTTTTTCGCTCCAGTACTTGTAAATGATTCGAAGGCTTATATAAAAATCCACTGTGTTCCAGTATTTAGTGGTATTAAAAGATCACGTGTAGTTAGAAAAATACGTAATCCTTTGTTTATGTTTTAAGGTATTATTTTTAAGGTTTTATTCATTTGAACTTATTTTATTCACCACTACAGAGCAATGATTTAAAAGTTCCTATGCAACGCCACTTAATTGTAGTTTCTTCGAGATGAGGCTTACGAAATGATGGCGAAATTCTGAAAGTTTTGGCTTTTGAATGATGTCTACCTCTCTATGAAATATTTTGCGAATAGCGTAGTTGGCAGGCCTGCCATGAAACTATGGAATTGTGCGAAGTATTAGGTCAACTGCTGAGTTATGTCCGCTGGAGCACATGTCTCATTTTACAGTCATGCAAAAGGTTCCTTTATAAAGAAATGAGTTAGGGTATTTAACTTTTAACTCAATGGTAATATTAATTGCAGTTTAATATATAAGCGGTTAACGCCCAGCGTCATATATTTAGGACAGTTCCTTTTTTCAAAGACATTCATTGTGGTGAGAAATTTTTTTAAGTATTTTCATTTATCTGGGTGAATTAAAAGATTCTCAGATACCATAACTTATGAAAGATCTGTGACTAGATCTAGAATTAAAAGGAGGAAGTACTTTTTGATCACAAAAGCAACTCCACTTCCTGCTTACCTCAATGGGCAACCAAAACAGTGTAAAAATTCTAGATGAATGGGATAGGGGTAGCTTCGCGACCCAGGTGCCCAGAAAAATTAAAACACTAGGACTAGTACTTTTTGATTGGGGTAGGGGCCGCTGCGCGGTCTAGGCACCCAGTTTTGTTTAAAGAAAGAAAGTACTTTTTGATCTATCAAAGACTTTTTGAATGCCCTAACAGTAGAAAAACCAATTAATTTCGATAATATATTATACCACTTTTTCCATAAAACCACTTTTTGTATAATTTCAATGCATAAATTCGGGACAAAACGGGTTAAGCTTACATCAGCATATATGTCGCAGAAGAACATGTGCATGCACATTCTACCTTGTAACGAAAGTATCCAATACAACTACATCTGATGTATCCTGTATAATTAAATCGCAGCCATTTAAGGGTAAATGCCCTACCACTTTGTTTTTTACTAAGGCACCAACTGCGTCTTCGTATGATCACGCATATTTTTTCGCGGACATAATTGTTTGATAGACATAATATATTGTCTTTTTCTCATTCTTTGTCTTCATTTATGTACGTCTTCATAAATATATCTGGGCATATTTATTTAATAAATTAATTGGGAGTGAGCAAGACAAATACGAAAAATAAAATTAAATTAAATATTTAAAATGGAAGCTTGGTTTTAAATGTCTACCACTCTATAAAATATTTTACAAAAAGTGTAGTAGTTGGC